GGTCGTTTTCACTAAACCACGTTTTGCTAAAGCGGTCTCTGCCCATATTTATGTGTATATATATGTATATATATACATATATATGTATGTATGTATGTATATTATATATATATATATATATATATATATATCGGAGGTGAGGAGTGGGATTCAAGTGAAACGGAGAGCCCCCCTACTGGGAAATCGGTTTCAGTTTCGTGTTCGTGCGTGCCGTGCGTGCGGGCGAGGCGAAGCTGCGTGGGCGGCCGAGAAAGAAGTCTCCTGTAGCTGAGGCGCGGCCGGACCGAAAGTCTCCGTTCCGGCAACCGGTGCCCGTGGTGTCCCGCCGGTGCCCTGCCGGTGTCCCGTCGGTGTCCGATGATGATGATGATGATGATGATGATGATGATGATGATGATGATGATGATGATTTTGATGATGATGACGATGATGATGATGATGGTGATGGTGATGATGATGATGATGTTGTCCCGATGATGATGATGATGATGTTGACGATGTTGTGATGATGATAATGGTGATGGTGGTGATGATGATGGTGCCCCGATGATGATGACGTTGATGATGATGATGTTGCTGATGATGAGGGTGCCCAGATGATGATGATGTTGATGATGATGATGATGTTGATGATGATCATATGATTTGATGATGATGATGAAGATGATGATTGTGACCCGATGATGATGATGATGAGGTTGGTGATGATGCTGTTGATGATGATGCTGGTGCTGATGATGGTGCCTCGATGATGAAGATCATGATGATGATGACGATGATGGTGTTCCGATGATGATAATGTTGATGATGAGGATGATGATGAGTTGATGATGATGATGATGTGGATGATGGTGGCCCAATGATGGTGATGACAATGCTGATGTTGGTAATGATGATGGGGTCCCCATGATGTCGATGATGATGGCGACGATGATGGTGACGATGATGATGGAGTGCCGATGGTGATGATGATGATGACGATGATGGTGATGCTGTTGTTGATGATGTTACTAATGCTGATGATGATGGGGTCCCGATGATGATGGTGATGTTGCTGATGTTGTTCGTGATCAGTATGATGAGATGATGATGATGACAATGATGATGATGCTGATGATGATGATCATGATGACGATGGTGGTGTTCCGATGATGATGATGGTGCCCCGATGATGATGTTGATGATGATGAAGATGATGATGGTGACGATGCTGGTGTCCCGATGATGATGTTGATGATGAGGATGATGATGAGTTGATGATGATGATTTGGATGATGGTGGCCCAATGATTGTGATGATAATGCTGATGTTGGTAATGATGATGGTGTCCCGATGATGTCGATGATGATGGCGATGATGATGGCGACGATGATGATGGAATGCCGATGACGATGATGATGATGATGTTGTTGATGATGTTGCTAATGCTGATGATGCTGGTGTCCCGATTATGATGATGATGATGTTGATGATGTTGTTCATGATCAAGATGATGAGATGATGTTGATGATGATGATGATAATGATTACAATGGTGGTATTCCGATGATGATGATGATGATGGTGCCCCGATGATGATGTTGATGATGATGATGGTGACGATGATGGTGTCCCGATGATGATGATGGTGATGATGATGATGTTGGTGATGATGGTGATGAGGTGATGATGATGATGGTGTCCCGATGATGCTGCTGATGATGGTGTTGATGACGATGATGTTGACGATGGTGATGATGACGTTGATTGTGATATCGATTGTAATTTAGATAGTGAGATCGATACTTAGACTGAATGTGAGATCGATTGTGAGATCGATAGGGAGACCGATAGTGATATCGATTGTGAGATCGATAATCAGATCGATTGTGAGATCGATCGAATGAAATAGATCGAGTGAGATCGATTGTGAGGTCGATCGAGTGAGATCTATCGAGCGAGACCGATAGCGAGATCGTTAGTGAGATCGATAGTGAGACCGATCGAGTGAGACGTTGGTGCCTCCCCCCCCGCACCTCCTTATCAACCGAAGGGTGGTCCTATAGGTGTGTGTATATATAAACATATGTATGTATGTTTGTATGTATGTATGTATCTATGTATGTATCCATGTATGCATGTATGTATGTATGTATCGGAGGTGAGGGGGTGAGATCGAAATGGAACGGAGAGCCCCCCCACTGGGAAAACGGTTTCAGTTTCGTGTTCGTGCGTGCCGTGCGTGCGGGCGAGGCGAAGCTGCGTGGGCGGCCGAGAAAGAAGTCTCCTGTAGCTGAGGCGCGGCCGGACCAAAAGTCTCCGTTCCGGCAACCGGTGCCCGCGGTGTCCCGCCGGTTCCCTGCCGGTGTCCCGTCGGTGTCCCGATGATGATGATGATGATGATGATGATGATGATGATGATGATTATTATGATGATGATGTTGATGATGTTGATGATGATGACAATGATGATGATGGTGATGGTGATGATGATGTTGTCCCGCTGATGATGATGATGCTGACGATGTTGTGATGATGATAATGGTGATGGTGGTGATGATGATGGTGCCCCGATGATGATGACGTTGATGATGATTATGTTGCTGATGATGATGAGGGTGCCCAGATGATGATGATGTTGATGATGATGATTTCGATGATGATCAGATGATTTGATGATGAAGATGATGATGGTGTCCCGATGATGATGATGATGAGGTTGGTGATGATGCTGTTGATGATGATGGTGCTGATGATGGTGCCTCGATGATGATGATCATGATGATGATGATGACGATGATGGTGTTCCGATGATGATGATGTTGATGATGAGGATGATGATGAGTTGATGATGAGGAATTGGATGATGGTGGCCCAATAATGGTGATGACAATGCTGATGTTGGTAATGATGATGGGGTCCCGATGATGTCGATGATGGTGGCGACGATGATGGTGACGATGATGATGGAGTGCCGATGATGATGATGATGATGGTGATGATGTTGTTGATGATGTTACTAATGCTGATGATGATGGTGTCCCGATGATGATGATATTGATGATGTCGTTCATGATCTTTATGATGAGATGATGATGATGATGATGATGATGACAATGATGATGATGATGCTGATGATGATGATCATGATGACGATGGTGGTGTTCCGATGATGCTGATGGTGCCCCGATGATGATGTTGATGATGATAATGATGATGACGGTGACGATGCTGGTGTCCCGATGATGCTGATGTTGATGATCAGGATGATGATGAGTTGATGGTGATGATTTGGATGATGGTGGCCCGATGATGATGATGATAATGCTGATGTTGGTAATGATGATGGTGTCCCGATGATGTCGATGATGATGGCGATGATGATTGTGACGATGATGATGGAGTGCCGATGACGATGATGATGATGATGATGTTGTTGTTGATGATGATGTTGCTAATGCTGATGATGATGGTGTCCCGATTATGATGATGATTTTGATGATGTTGTTCATGATCAAGATGATGAGATGATGTTGATGATGATGATGATAATGATTACGATGGTGGTATTCCGATGATGATGATGATGGTGCCCCGATGATGATGTTGATGATGATGATGGTGACGATGATGGTGTCCCGATGATGATGATGGTGATGATGATGATGTTGGTGATGATGGTGATGAGGTGATCATGATGATGGTGTCCCGATGATGCTGATGATGATGGTGTTGATGACGATGATGTTGACGATGATGATGATGACGTTGATTGTGATATCGATTATAATTTAGATAGTGAGATCGATACTCAGACCGAATGTGAGATCGATTGTGAGATCGATAGGGAGACCGATAGTGATATCGATTGTGAGATCGATAATCAGATCGATTGTGAGATCGATCGAATGAAATAGATCGAGTGAGGTCGATTGTGAGGTCGATCGAGTGAGATCTATCGAGCGAGACCGATAGTGAGATCGTTAGTGAGATCGATAGTGAGACCGATCGAGTGAGACGTTGGTGCCTCCCCCCCGCACCTCCTTATCAACCGAAGGGTGGTCTTATAGGTGTGTGTATATATAAACATATATGCATGTATGTATGTTTGTATGTATGTATGTATCTATGTATGTATCTATGTATGCATGTATGTATGTATGTATGTATCGGAGGTGAGGGGGTGAGATCGAAGTGGAACGGAGAGCCCCCCCACTGGGAAATCGGTTTCGGTTTCGTGTTCGTGCGTGCCGTGCGTGCGGGCGAGGCGAAGTTGCGTGGGCGGCCGAGAAATATGTCTCCTGTAGCTGCGGCGCGGCCGGACCAAATGACTCCCTTCTGGCGTCCGGTGGCCCCCGGTGTCCCGCCGTTGTCCCGCCTCCGGCTGAGGCGCGGCCGGACCAAATGACTCCCTTCCGACGTCCGGTGGCCCGCGTTGTCCCGCCGGTGTCCCGCTGAGGTCCCGTCGGTGTCCCGATGACGATGACGATGATGATGATGATGATGATGATGATGATGATGATGATGATGATGATGATGATGATGATGATGATGATGATGATGTTGATTATGTTGACGATGATAATGATGATGGTGATGGTGGCGATGATGATGGTGCCCCGATGATGATGATGATGTTGATGATGATTATGTTGATTACAAGGATGTTGCTGATGATCATGATGATGAAGATGATGGTGATGACGATGGTGTCCCGATGATGATGTTGATGATCATGATGATGTTGATGATGATGGGATGATGGGATGATAACGATGATATAATGATGATGGTGATGGTGATGGTGGTGATGATGATAGTGCCCCGATGATGGTGATGATGCGGTCGACGATGTTGATGATGCTGATGGTGATGATGATGGCCATGGTGGTGATGATGGGGTCCCGACGATGATGATGTTGATGATGCTGATGTTGATGGTGATGATGATGATAGTGTCCCGATGATGGTGATGATGATGTTGATGATCCTGATGATGTTGATGGTGATGAGATAATGAGATGATGATGGTGCTGATGATGATGATGATGATGATGTTGATGATGGTTATGATGGCGTCCCGAGGATGATGGTGATGATGAGGTTGATACTGATGCTGATGATGATGGTGATGATGAGGATGGTTTCCCGATGAGGAGGAGGAGGAGGAGGAGGAGGAGGAGGGATGAGGGATCAGGAGGGGGAGGAGGAGCTGGAGGCGGAGGAGGAGGACGAGGAGGAGGAGGAGGAGGAGGATGAGACACATGAGGACGTGGTAGACGAGGGAGGGAGGGATGGGGGAGTAGGAAGAAGAGGAGGAGGATGGACAGGTGAGGAGCCCCCCCAAACTACACAGACACAGACACAGACACAGACACACAGACACATAGACACAAACGCACAGACACTGACACACATATACATAGACACACACACGGACACACGGAGACACTGACAAGTATACACACAGACACACAGACACACAGACGCACACTCACACTCACGCACACCGCCCCGCCACAGCGAGGTGCGCGCGCTGCCTAGCGTGTCCGCCGCGGCGCCGCTCGCGGCTACTCTGAATAATTTGCAGCGCTGCGCGCGAGTTCCGATCGCGACAGAAGGGCCGACATCCAGCCATCTGCATCGCGCGCGCTACGAATCGCTGGGTTTCGGTCGCGCCGAGGTGCTTTGCATATTTTTCGGACGTCGGGCACAAGGGAGGAGCGGGATGAGGACGAGGACGAGGACGAGGAGGGAGGCGGAGGAGGGGGAGGAGGGAAGGAAATGGAGGAGGAGGAGCAGGAGGAGGAGGAGGAGGAGGAGGAGCAGGAGGATGCGGAGGAGGAGAAGGATGAGGAGGAGAAGAGGGAGGCTGGGGAGGCGGATGAGGAGGAGGAGGAGGAGGAGGAGGCGCAGGAGGAGGAGGCGCAGGAGGAGGAGGAGGAGGAGGAGGAGGAGGCATGAGGAGGAGGATCAAGAGGAGGAGGAGGAGGAAGAGGAGGAGGTGGTGGAGGCGCAGGAGGAGCAGGCGGAGGAGGACGAGGCGGAGGAAGAGGAGCGAGAGCCAGGGGCGCTCGCGTTCGCCCGGCGGCGCGCCGCAGCGAGGCGCGCCCGCTGGCCGGCGCGCCCGCCGCGGCGCCGCGGAGCACTGCGGCGCCCGAGGCGTCGAGGACCGGCCGCCCGCGTTCGGTCGCCGCTGCCGGTCGCTCGCCGCCCCAGGGCCTCCCGGTTGCCTCTGCTTCCTTCAGTCGGGGGCGGCCAGGGGTGCGGGATACGAGGGATACCAGGTCGTCGGCAGGGCAAGAGGAAAACAGAGAAGAAAGAAGATTGAGCCCCACGGGGGGGGGCTGTTACGCCGGATCGGGCCTCGGAAGCAGCGGGATAAACCCTCGACTCATCGGGATGGAACGGGATTGAGCCGGATGTCGGACGCGGGGCAGAGTCAGAAGTTGACTTCCCAGGAGTCGCATCCGTGCCCCCTGGCACGTTTGCGGGCAAGATTCGTGTCCATATCCAGTGCCTCTTGGACTTTTTTGGAAGCGGCGCCACAAGGCCGAGGCGCACTGGATATGGATAAAACAATCGAGCCCCTAGGGGGCGAATTTATCCATATCCAGTGCGCCTCGGGTTTCTTGGGAAGGGAGCCCGACACTCCATACTGCAGTGGATATAGACAGAAGTATTGCCCGCAGGGGGGGGGTGATGATCAGGAGAGAAAGAAGCACACAGACACAATGTCTCGTCGATGCCCCAGAAAATATGGGAAAATATGGGAAGTGGGGGGGAAGACGGAAACCCCACGAAACGTAGGAAAATATGTGGGGCATATTTTTTTAAGTTGTGTGTATTTATTTGTGTGTCCTTGGGCCCCTTCAGATGACTAGGGGGGGTGGATATCATGGCGTGGGCTATGACATTTCCACAGCTTTCATGGCCCCCCCGTGGGCCGGGCACGTGCCGCCGGCCATGATTTGCGCCCCCCCTCTTGGACGCCCCCCTCTTGGCCGCCCCCGATTCGAGCAGCGACGAGGCGCCTTGGCTCGCCGATGTGCCCGCCAAAGCTCAGGGGCAACGATAGGGGGGGAGAGGCACAGGGGGTGATGCATCGATCCCCATTCGCCCACTGATCGCCGAGAGGGGCCCGATAGCCCCACCCCGCCCAGGAAGGTGCGGAATTCACGATCGGGGGAGGAGGAGAAGGAGGAGGAGGAGGCGCAGGAGGAGAAGGAGCAGAAGGTGGAGGAGGAGGAGGAGGCGCAGGAGGAGGAGGAGGAGGAGGAGGCGCAGGAGGAGGAGGAGGCGCAGGAGGAGGAGGAGGAGGAGGAGGAGGACGAGGCATGAGGAGGAGGAGGAGGAGGAGGAGGAGGAGGAGGTCGATGCATCCCCCCCTATGCCAGTCCCCCCCATCGTCGCGCCCCTCAGTCGCTCGCCGCTCCTGGGCTTTCTGGTTGCTCCGGCTTCCTTCAAGCAGCGACGATCGAGGAAGCAAAAACGCCTTCAACATAAACCTTGGGCCCTCCGCGCGGCTTTCTCGGATGATCCGCGCTGGATCCTCCTGGCGGCGCCTCTGGCGCCGCCCCTGGCGCGCTCCGCGCGCCAGGGATGGGGGGTCTGGCGCGGATCCAAGAATTCCTCGCGGAGCGCCCATTTTTATATATAAGTTATAAAAAACTACTTCTAGACGAGTCGTCTTCGCTCGCCCATGTGCCCGCCCAGGCACGGCCCTGGGGGCCATTTGTGCTTCGCGCGAGGTGGTCTCAGAACACCCCTCGGGCGATGCCGCCTCGCTCCAGTGCGCCCCGGCCTCTGACCCATGCCGCCCTCCGCGCCTGGGCTGTGTGGGCCACAGGCCTCCAGGGCGTTCCTTGGGATGTGTCGGGGGTGGACAGACCTCCTACCCTGACACGTCGATTAGTGAATTGCCCGTTTTCGGTTCTCGAGAGGGCGCCGCGGCCGTCATTTTCCAGGCTTGCGCCCGCCAGGTTTGGGCCCGAGGTCGTTTTCGTTAAACCACGTTTTACTAAAAAAGGGAGGTCTGTCCATCCCCAAATGTGGCGATGGACCTCTTCGGGGGCTGTGTTGGGGGGTTCTGGGAGCAGTTTCGTGGCCTTTGGGGGCGTCTCGGGGCCTCGTGGGGTTCTCTTGGGGCTCTCTGGGGGCCGCCTCCTTGGCCCCCCCCCCCCGGGGGCCTCATGGAGCGGAAAATTTGGATTTTCCGTTCGCGTGTCCCTTTCTGGGCCCATAGTCGCGCTGTACTTGGGCTCTCTTGGGCCTCCTGGGCGCCTCTGGGGGCGTCTTGGAGCATTCTTGGGCCGTCTGGAGGCGTTGTTGGAGGTTCTCCTGGGTTTTGGGACGGTCTTGGGGGCCTCTTAGACCGCTATGGAGCGTTGGAAGCTAGAACAGTCGAGGACCCCAAAGCATTGAACAACCAATGGGGAATCACTGAATTTGGCATGTCGGAGCCATCTTGGGGAGGCTCTCGGAACTCCCTTGGGGAGCCTCGAATGCTTCCTGGGCCGCCTTGCGGCCATTGTGGGCGTTTTCGACCGATTGTTCGGCGACTCGGGGCCCGCTTAGATACGGTGGGGGCGTTCGTTGAGGAATGTGCCCATGGGGCTCCAGACCCTGGAGGGTTCCTTGTCTGATGAGGTCGGCAGTGATGTCCATGGCCAGTCCACGATTTGTGTCCCGCCAGCTTCCGGACCCTGGTTGCCTTATTCACTGGTTCCTTGTCCAATGCCCTCACCGCAGAGCGCGTACAGTGCCGTTTTTGATACATGCTCCGCGTGCGGATCATGTATTGAAAATGCAGGGATTTAGTATTAAAACAACGATGAGTTCATGCATACATTCATTCATTAGTGGATCATGTATTACAAATCCCATTTTTTACAACATCGTATGTATGAACCACTGCCCTGTCTGGACTGTTTCTTGGGGCCCCCTCTCGGCCCCTCAGAAGGCCTCCCCGAGATGGGGCCGGACAAGCTGCGCGAGAGAGAGAGAGAGACGCAGCGGCGCGCGCGCCCGAAGAGCCACGCGGCGCGCCCCTGCCGATTCGGCAGTGCTGTCTCCGGGCCCCCCCTAACAAAGGAGGGGTCCGACGAGGAGGGCTCGAGGAGGGGGGAGGTGCGATGAGGAGGTACGACGAGGAGGGAGGAGGAGGGAGGAGGAGGGAGGAGGAGGAGGAGGAGGAGGAGGAGGAGGAGGAGGAGTCGGCGATTGTAGGGGAGCGAAGAATGACACAAACATGACAACTCGGAGGTCCGGGCGGATTTCCCGAGTCGGCGCTGGACCCCCCTCCCTGGCGCGCGGAGCGCGCGGGGGTCGGCGCCGGGGGCGCCGCCAGGGGGGTCCAGCGCGGGTTTGTTTCATGTTTCAACCCTTGTTCCGGGTCTGTGACACACACTCTGGGTTTGTAGGAGCGAAGACGAACATGTCTGTGTGTGTAAGACATACAAGGTTGTTGTCTCCGGGGGGTGAAGAAGGACACACACCACACATGACAACTCGGAGGTCCGGGCGGATTTCTCGAGTCGGCGCTGGACCCCCCTCCCTGGCGCGCAGAGCGCGCCGGGGAGGGGGGTCCAGCGCGGATCCGATAAATCCGCGCGGACCTTCGAGATTGTGTGTTTATGTCATTCATCGTTTCCCTATAATCATAATGCTCGAGGACTGAGGCCTCAGGGATAGGCCAGGGACCTGCGGACACCCAATTTCGTGCCTCAGGGGCACGGTGGCGGACATCGGTTCACAGTACAAAGCAATGTTTCTTCGGTTCGAGAGCACTCTTGAGTTGTAAGAGCATGTCGTGGCAGGCCTTTAGGAGTGTCAGCAAGGTCGGCCCCTGCGCTATTCTCGTCATGCCCAGAGGCCTCAGACCCCAGCAACTCTTCAAACGGCCCTCAACGGGCCCCAGGACCGTCACATAACGACTCAGAATGAACAGCCAAATTGACTAGATCTCCGGGGTCCACGTGCCGAAACAACTGGAGCGCCGATGTTTGGGTTCTTCCCTCAGAGGAGCCCTGGATGCGCGGGTCTCGTCAGCACGGCGGGATTTGCCTCGGAATTAAGGTCCGAGCGTAGTCCTGGAAACTGGGGATTAGCGGCATTGGTACCTGTTTGTCCGCTCATCCTCGTCGTCATCGTTTTGATCTCCTTCCCCTTCTTTCTCCTCGTCCTCCTCTTCATTCTCGTCGCCCCCATCGTCGTCGTCGTCCTCCTCCTCCTCCTCCTCTTCCTCCTCCTTCTCCTCCTCCTCCTCTTCCTCCCTCTTCCACTTCCTCCTCCTCCTCCTCCTCCTCATCCCTCCTCCCTCCTCCTCCCTCCTCCGCCTCCCTCCTCCCTCCTCCCTCCTCCTCCTCCTCCTTCTCCTCCTCCTCCGCCTCCTCCCCCTCCTCCCTCCTTCTCCCTGCGGGGGCGTCAAGGAGGGGGCGACGCTCGTCTGGAGGAGTTCCGGGCGTTGTCGCCTGTGTGTGTGTGTGTGAGGTCTTTGCTGGCCTCGGGCCAGACACATCCTGCGGCTGCGCGTGGCCAGGAGCGTTCCGCGGGTGCCTCAGGCTCGTCCCGCCCGAGGTCCGGCCAGAAAAATTTGAGGTTCTCTCTCTCTCGCCCTCCTCGTCCCACTAGTCCTCCTCCTCCCCCCTCCTCCTCTCCCCCCTCCTCCTCCTCCACCTCCTCCTCCACCTCCTCCTCCTCCTCCTCCTCCTCCTCTTCCTCCTGCCCCTGTTCTCAATACCCCATCCCCATGCCCATCCCCATCCCCATCCCCGCCATCCCGCCACCCCCGCTGGGGACATGCGCCTCGAAGCCCGAAGGGAGCAGCCCATGGCCCCATAAAGGGAGGTACATCGGCCAGTGGTTCCCAGGCCACGCCCGTGGGATGGGTATCGGTAAAGCGATGCTCATGCTCCTCTTCCTGCTCTTCTATCCTCTTCGTCGTCGCGCTCCTGCTCCTCCTCTCCTCCTCGTCCTCCCTTCGTCGTCTACCCTCTCCCTCCTCCGCCTCCCCCTCTTCTAGCCTTTTCGTCGTCGCGCTCCTGCCCCTTAGCTGGGGCATGGTCTCGCATCTTGGAGCCAACGCCACCCTGCGCGAAGAGCACACTATCAAAGAGCCTCGCTTGGTCGCGGGGGCATCGTAGCCGCCCGTTGGCGTGTGGGGCGAGGGTTCGATTCCCTCGCATCACCTCTTTCCTCAACAGGTGCGGCAACTTGCCCTCCTGTGGTCGCGCAGCTGATCCGCATCATCAGGGTCGGCGCAGCGGGGCTCGTAGCATCAGAGCCTGAGGGCCTTGTTTGTTTTCCTTGCGCCGATCCGCATGGTGCTTTACGATTTCTGTTGTCGCCATCTGAGACATGCTTTCACATTAGTTCTCCTCGATCTCCTCTTCCTTTTTCCTCCTCCTCCTCCTACGCCATGGTTTCCTCCTGCTCGTTTTCATTGTTTCGTTTCGTCGCTGGCGCAGCCGTCGGTCGCCGCTCAGTCCTCGTCCTCCTGCCCCCTCCGCCCTTCGATGCGACAGGAACAACATGACGTGTGTGTTGTTGTTGTTGCTGCTGCTGCCGCTGTTGTTGTTGTTGTTGTTGTTGTTGTTGTTGTTGTTGTTGTTGTTGTTGGTGTTGTTATTGTTGTTGTTTGTGTTGTTGTTGTTGTTGTTGTTGGTGTTGTTGTTGTTGTTGTTGTTGTTGTTGTTGTTGTTGTTGTCGTTAGCCTCTTTTGCCGAAGTTTTGGGTGATGGCCGATCCCCCTACACTGGAGACCAATTGGGATACTCAGATTACCTATACGACTACCCTTCGGGTGATCAGGAGGTTGTGGGGGTTAGGGGGAGAGGGGGGGAACCAACATCTGACTCAATCGATCTCACTATCGATCTCACTCCACGGGACACCACGGGACACCACGGGACACTTGTCGATCTCATTGTCAATCTCACGATCCATCTCACTCAACGGGACACCACTGGACACCACGCGACACCACGGGATACCTCTCGATCTCACTACCGATCTCATTGTTTGGGACACCACAGGACACCACGGGACACCACGCGACACCACGGGACACCTCGGGATACCACATCGATATCACTATCGATCTCACTATCGATCTCACTCAACGGGACACCATGGGACACCACGGGACACCTCGGGGCACCACAGCGATCTCACTATCGATCTCACTATCGATCTCACTGTTTGGGACACCACGGGACACCTCGGGGCACCACATCGATCTCACTATCGATCTCACTATCGATTTCACTTTTTGGGACACCACGGGGCACCACGGGACACCACGGGACACCGCGGGACACCGCGGGACCGCGAGCCACCGCCGGACGGACGGACGGACGGGCGTGCGGGGGAGAATCATTTGTCTTGACTTCGCCCTGGCAACGGCGGACACCACGGGACATCACGGGACACCACGGGACACCACGGGACACCGCGAGCCGCCGCCAGACGGGCGGGCGGGCGGGGCGGCGGTCACCACGGGACACCACGGGACACCACGGGACACCACGGGACACCGCGGGACACCGCGAGCCACCGTTGGACGGGCGGGCGGGCGGGGGAGAATGATTTGTCTTGACTTTGCCTAAGCAACGGCGGGGTCATTCCTCTCGCGCGCCAACGCAGCTTCGCCTGGCCCGCACGCACGACACGAACGAAACGAAACGATGTCCCGGTTGGGGGTCTCCGTTCCACTGCGATCTCATCCCCCAACCTCCAAAGTATAATACCTATACGACCGCCCTGCGGGCGATGAGGAGGTTGGGGGGGATTGAGATCAAATGCCCACCCTGACTGACCTCCAGCCTGTCACTCTCTCTCTCTCTGTCTCTCTCTCTCTCTCGCCCTCTATCTCTCTCTCTCTCTCCCTCTCTGTCAGAGTCTCCCTCCACCACAATGATGATCGCGATGACGATGGGATCCCACTATCTACCTATCCGTCGACCGATTGGATACGATAAGCTGGGTTGGATAAGAAAGCCCGCCGCAGGCGCCGGCAAAATGAATTGATGGATTCGGTTGGGTGGAATGGATTGGATGGGATAAGATGGATTGGGTATTATAAGATAGGTTAGAGTGGAATTCGGATGGATTGGATTGGCCCGCCACAGGCGCAGAAACAAATGAATTGATGGATCGGGTTGGGTGGTTTGGATTGGGTGGGATAGGATCAGGTGGGACAAGATGGGTTGGATAAGATAAGATGGTTTGGATTGGACAAGATGGATTGGATAATATAAGCTGGATTGGGTCAGAAAGCCCGCCGCAGGCGCCGACAAACAACGAATTATGAAATTAGTGACATGCGTTAGCGCCGGGACGCCCGGGACACCCGGGACACCTGGGACACCGCCCGGCCCAACTGGGACACCTCCCGGCCACCGGTGGACGGGAAACGGACTTTTGCTCCTACTGACACCCGGGACACCCGGGACACCGCCCGGCCCAACTGACACCTCCCAGCCACCGCCGGACGGGAACGGATTTTCGCTCTTACTTCGGCCTATTACAGGGGGACCATGCGCAGCTTCGCCTCGCCCGCACGCACGACACGAACACGACACCTAAACCGATTTCCCGGTGGGGGGTCTCCGTTTCACTGCGATCTCACCCCCCAACCTCCGATTTTCTTTGGGATACTGCTGGCACGTTTGAAACCACATCTAGACCGTCAACAGCATGATGACCAAATCGGTTTTCGACCGAGCCGATCAGTCGCCGACGCGTTCGTTGTGTTGGAGAAGCTATGCATGCAGACGTGGGAGTATGGACAATCGCTGTGGATTGTCAGTCTGGGCCTTACTAACAAACCTCTCTAATAAGCTTTCGATAACATCGGACATCTGATACTGTTTGCCGCTCTGCGTGACCAGGGCGAGCTTCACGAACATTTGCCTTTTTATTGGCATACGTGTATGCAAACAAGACAAGCCAGGTGAAGGTCAGTACGAGCTGCGTCAATCAAGGCGATGTGTTGTCCTCTTTGTTGTTCGTAATGCTAGGCTTGAGCAGGCGGTGCGTGACTTCAACACGAAGTGTAAGTGCACAGCCGCGCCAGCTGCGCTTTGTGAGTTGGGCCCGACGAGCGCCTGAGAAACATCAGGTATGCGGGCGACATGTGACTTTCACGCTCGGTCACCAGGATGCGGTGCGGATGCTCGCCATGCCGTCCACGGAGCTCGGGAAGCAGGGCCTCATATCGAAGGCGGACAAGATGAGGATCGCTCGAATAATAGGGTACGCGTTGGGTGGTGCACGCGCAAACAAAGAGGCGCTTACCAATACGAGCATAGTACCCCGCGCTGTCGGCTCGTGTGTCCGACGTTGTGACCACTCCTACACCTGTGTGCCCAGTGGCGTCTTAGGGCATGACCACCAGACATCGCTCGCTGCTGGCAGCTTGCTGCAAGATGCTTCGGCAAGGAGTGGCATCTCCGAAGCTGTCGCATGATCTTTGATTTTTTAACACGCGCTTCAAGCGCAACGTGGAGCAGGCAATGAACGTGTGCGTTATTTTTGAATGGGCCGAAGTTGTAGAGATTGATCGGTTGCCGTTGATGTCTCGTCTGTGCGTTCTGGCCTCGTGGTTGGCAGTTGTCATACGATGGACAATTCACGACCAAAGACGCTGAGGCAGACCAAGACGAGGTGGACCGATTCGGTGCTCAAGTTTCTGTTGTCGAAGGGACTTGTGTTGCAGGAGACGCAACGGCAATGCAGGTTTCCCATGATGCAGTGATAACGAGGATGAGAGCTTGTAGCTGACGATCAACAACCACACGTGAAGCTTAAACGTGTGGGAAGGATGTACTCGTTACGCATGTGCAGTAGTATCTGTGTGTGTCCTCATTTTGGGGGCGAGCCGCTCCCCGAGCTGCTCGGTCGGACGTTGCGTTGCTCCGGGCCCCGGGACCGTCAACAAACCAACCGTCGGCGTAAGCAGGTCTTTGGTAAAGAAGGTCAGACCTCCAGGAGTCCACTGTGTGACCACACTGCGACGTGAGAGTTTTGTCTCTGGGTCCTCGCCGGACGGTTTGCCGCGTGTACCGTTTGGTTCGGTAGCAAATCGCTGGAGCCTCGTATGTCCCAGTATTTCCGTGTTTGGGGCGAAGGCGGCGATCTGAACGTCGATTGGCGTCGACTCGCGTCGATTCGCGTCGGTTGAATTTGTTTTGCAAGTGCCGGCAATTTGCCATGGGAGGCTCCCGTGAGTTGCCATTGCTTTCTGTCGCGGGCCTGGACAGGGGGGCGGTGGGGGTACTATTCACCGCCGGCCTGCGGGAAACGCGGGCGAACACCACATTTTACCCAAGCACGCCGCCACGAGCGGTGCCCCACAGACGTTGACCCAACAGATGTTAAAAGGCCGCCGCCGCCTGCTCCCCTCCCCGTCCCCTCAATCCCTACCGCTCTGCTCTCCTCCTGCCTCTCTCCTCCCGCGTCCTTTCTTTCCCGCGCCCACATGACTTGGAGTCGGATGGGGGTCCTGATGTGGCCCCGCACTGGTTCCAGTCAGCAGGTGGGGGGGGGGCGAGGTTCGAGTCGAGATGTGTTTTCGTTTCCTCCCTCTGACGGCCTTCGGGGACTGTCTTCGGGCCCTGCGGCCGTCAGAGACGGATCTGGGCCGAACATTTGCACCAGATGGACCCGAGGAAGAGGTCCTGGGGACCGGCTGTGCGCGGGTGTGGCTTCATCGCCTCTCCTGGCAGAGCTCTGGGGTCCCAGCCACAGTTCAACCCCTCTGGCCGCCTCCTCCACCCATGCTCTTCTCCTCCTCCTCCTCCCCTCCTCCACTTCCTTCCCCAGTCCACTTCCTTCCCCTTCGCTCCAACTCGCTCCTCTTCCTCCCCACTTCCTTCCTCCTCGCTCCCTCCTCCCTTCCCCAGTCCACTTCCTCGTCCTCCCCCCCTGCTGCAGGGCGTCTGTCCGACACGTGATGGGGGCCGGCGTCTCCTTCACGCAGAAAGGCATCGTCATGAGTCGCAAGGCGGCCGTGACCAAGGCGTGAGCAGGCGTCGGGCCCTGTGCTGTTCCCCCTCCACCTGTTCTCGCGGTGCAGACATGAGGCGGCAGGACGTTTCTGTCTGCGGCCTCCGGGGGCCCTCACAAGGGCCCCGGGCCGTCGCCAGAGACGACGGGGGACGATGCGAAAGCCGGTCCCGAGGGTGGGGCCCAGCTTACTGGGCATCCACGGCGCGAGCAAGCACGACGTCGGGCCGAGCCCTGGTCCTGGGGGTGAGTCGGGCCTGTCCCCCCTTACCGGGGGATTTTGGACGAACATGTCAAAGCATACCCCAAACAAAACCCCCAAATTGACCAAACGTGCTAGAAAAACAGTCCCCAGACTATTGTTAGACTTTTTTGTGGATTCTCCTCCTCTACAGAAGGACAGGCCCGACTTCAGCCTTGGGGCACCCTCCGCCCCTCGCCGGCACTCTGCCGCTGGCGCCCTGCCGGCGCGGCGCTCTCGCCTCCCTCGCCGTATATCGGGGCAGCCGCTCGGCCCGCGGTTCTAGGCCTCCTAGATGGGGTCGGAGTAGATGGGGTCGGAGGATCGCGCCGCATCGCCGATGCATCGGCGATGCATCGGCAATGCGGCTCGATGCGGGGTCCATTTTTCCGCACGCCGACGTCGCGGATGTACCGCAGACGTCGCCAGTGAATGGCCCATGCATCACCGATGCATCGACGATGCATCGCCGATGCATCGGCGATGCGGCGAGATCCTCCGCCCCCATCTACTCGGACCCCATCTAGGAGGCCTCTAGCGGTGGGCCGGGACCTTGTGCTCGTTTTTTTTTTCGACTCGTGGTATTGGCGATAGGAGGAGGAGGAGGAGGAGGAGGAGGAGGAGGAGGAGGAGGAGGAGGAGGAGGGGAAGGAGGAGGAGGAGGAGGAGGAGGAGGGACGAGTTTTTATGGAGTGGATCTTGGCTGTTGTTTGGCGCCTGTTCCGAGCGGGTGGAGTCTATCCAGAGGCAGCACGTCCTGCAAGCCGTCGCGCTAAGCAGCGGTCTGGAGCCAGACCCCCCCCCTCCCCCCTTTCCGCCGCCCAGTGTCGGAGCTCCCTCCGAATCAGACAAGCGCTCGCCTCCTCGCGCCGTGTGAAATCACGACGGGCGTTTTCTGTTCCCCTCTCTCGGCCTCCCGGGCCCTTCGGCAGCGCAGATCGGGGCGGGCGGCCCGCCCCGTGGGCAGCGTCGGGGCCTCGGGGGGCCGCGTCGAGAAGCACGACGTCGTGGACCCCGTGGGCGAACACCATGTTCGCCTCCGCGGCCTCGCGGACCGGCCCCCTGGACCCCGTTCACACGGATACGGGGGCGCTCTTGTTCAGGAGCGAAAGAAGGACGTCCATGTACATGAATCCACGCTGGTTTCGAGAGCACGCGTTGCACAAATGTTCGTACAACGCGGCCGGTCTCGCGAATCGAGGGGCCGTGTTCATGTACATAGCTGGGCGCGTACGTCCTTTGTGGGCTCCCTACTTGGCCGGGGCTGCCCCGGTCGCAGCGTGCATCCGTGCGACCGCATCATCCGCGCGGTTGTGCGCCCAGGAAGCCAGGGCGCGAGGGGTCGCTGATACGGGCATGTCCGCCGCTCGCGAAGGTCTGGGGATGGCATGGCCTCTTCCGCACAGAGGGGTTGCCTTTGTCGTTGTGGAAGTCGATCAATGGAGAGGAAGCGTGCTGCCAAGTAGCTTCCAGATGTCTCGAAGATGCTCCGAACACGTCTTAAACATGTCACAGGCATGTTTGAAACATGTTCAGAACATGTTCCAAACATTTTGAGCACATCTTCAACTCAATGGTAGGATTGTTAGAGCGTCCACTGTCATGGCTTCCACAGCTTTGTCCCCCCCAGGCGCGAGAGTCGGGGGGCCTGGGCCGCCCATGCGTTTTTTCGCGCTGAGCCCGCTGGCCGCCACCTGCGACGATGCAGATGCCATCGTCGCAAGCGCGCGTGCTCCCAGTCAGTATAGGTACGTATCGTCAAACCGACCCCCACCGCCATCCTCATCCCCTTCGATACCCGGACCAAGTTACCACCCCACTTGGGGATGCGGCCCTCGAAGCCCGAAGGGAACGGCCTACATCCCCCTCCTAGGGGGGTAAATCGGCCAGTGGGGCCCAGGCCACGCCGCTGGGGATGGGGATCGGTTAAACGATACTCATCCTAGTCAGTGGAGGGCTTTCGGCAGCAACTCATGGGAGCCTCGTGTGCCCTCTGCAGCTTCGCTCTCAGAGTGCCCTAGCGTCGACCAGCCTCGTGGTAATCGATGAGGTGACGCCGCACGCGCGTCGATGAGCGTCAGCGGGCGCCGACTTGCTGGAGCCGGCAAGATGTCACCGTGAGTTGCCTCCGTGAGTTGCCACCGAATTGCTCGCCAGAGGGGGACACTGCACCGATGCCGCTGCCTGTCCCGGAGACCTCGTTGCCACGGCCGGAGTCTCCTCGTCGTTGTGGTCAGCATGGGGCCCGGGAGGGGTCCAGGGGGCCGGCGGCATGGGTACATTTGTGTCCCCCCAGTGATAGGTTTCGCGAGTAATTATTGTTAGGTGATGCCGCTGCCATCGGCGTCGGTTCCAGGCGTAGCCGCTGATCCCACGAGGCAAACGCCAAACGCCAGCCCCTTGGAGAGTAGGGTTCCAATTTCCTCCCCGGGTGCTCGGGCGGGGAGTGCCAACCTGGGAGGAGGAGGGTTTTCCCGTCTCATTCTTCTTTCATCTCTTTCTTCTCCTCCCCCTCCTTCTCCTCCCCCCTCCCCACCCGTAAAGGGTCCTTAAGTGTGGGGGGGGGGTCATTCCGCAGCAGTGGTCATATCGTATCTACGGCTACAGCGGAGTAGCTCACTTCGTATAGCCAGTCTCTGCGCCAGGGAAGCGCCGCAGTTTGGCTTGGGCGCACTTGCTTGCATAACTGCATGCGAGGGGATGGGACAGCGAAGTCGCCGATGCCACGACGGATACGACATATTCCACTGTTGCCTTGATTGGCTTGGCTTGTTGTCCCACTCGTCGAGTAAAGAAGCTTTCCATTCCGTGCTTGGATGAGGAAGGAACAGGTCTTCCTCCTTTCCTTCTCCGACTCAGCCGCTCTTGCCCAGGATCTGAGCTTGCCACAGCCGTATTCAGAGTTGCAAGCGCTGTGGCGTTTTTTGATTGTTGTGCAGTTCGAGGGGTCTCAATTCTCACGTTTCCAGCAAGTTCCTGCAGGAGCATACGTTCATGCCAGTGCCACACGCATTGGACAGGATCTGGATGTTCTCCCAGGCCCGAAGCAGCCAGTGTGGGGTGTCCGTCAAGAAGAATTCGCCCCAGCAGATCATCGATAAGGCGAAATAGAAGTCAAAGCAGCCAAGCCCGTCTAAGTCTCGCCGCCCTGGTGGCTTGGGCCCGCGGCCCTCCGAACAATAACAGTTCCAATACTGTGGCACGCCGGCTCGGCAAACTCCAGAAAGGGGTGACCATATTGCAAAGCAGTTTGGCGGCGCAGCTCACAGTCTAGCGGCCGAGCCCCCTCCAGATGCAGCAGACGGCGGGGCGGAGGCAGCCACGGATGATGGGGGACGGCAGCTCCTGGCCAAGATCAGGTTCCTCCAGTCTGCCACCGGTGCCATCCGCAACGATGCACAGTTCCTTGCGGCGATCAATGAGGGCATGGGGAACGACCTCCAGGAGGCCCGCAAGGAACCCAACAATACCACGCCGTCTTCGCCCAGGCACAGTGCGCTCGGGCACCAGTTGGCGAGATCTACGACCAAACTTGATACGCTGGATGACGAGATCAACGCCCAGGCGAGTCTCACCGAGGCAGCCACCAAGGAGCTCGCGGCGATTGAGGAGAGGGCTCTTTGAGCGCACGTGGGAATCGAGGCCGCCAAGCTCGAGTTTCGCATCACCATGTCCCAGGCTGTCCTGCCGCGGAGGTGATGGATTTCCTCGGGGTGCACTTGTACGCGGGTGGAAGCGTCAGGTTAGGTGCGAATTGCACCGCAAGATCGGACAGTCCTGGGGCAACTGTAACACCCTGAGCAGTTTCTGGAAACGCACCGTCTTGGCCAGAAAAAGGAGGCTGGACGTTGTCGGTTCACTTGTTGTCAGTCGCTTTCTTTGCGGCCTTAGCTCCGTTTGGCTGCATGCCGCAGACATTGGGCGCCTAAGCGGATCCCGCTGCAGGAGTCGACGTTTCATTCTGGGAATCCAACAATGGTTCGTCTCCCGGGTCTCGAACCAGAGAGTGTTGCTGGAGGCGGGGGGGCACCTCTGGCACGTGTGCTATTTCGACACCAGTTGCTGCTATGGCCGCGCAGCGAGGCCCCTGGACAGCGACGCGCTGAGGAGGCTCGCGTTTTTCCCCTGATCATTGAGACCAGCGACAAAAAGAGACGTGTGACACGTTGAAAGACCAAAGAACGAATGGACTGGCCAAGTACAACGACGTGCTGCTCTTGTACCAACAGATGTGAGAGACCCGGTGGCTTAGCAGCGCGCTGTCTGCCGCCATTGCATGTAGCGTTATGTCCACGCGCCCCGGCGTATGGCTTAGCGCAGCGGGGCGACATGTGGCCGTCCTGACCAGGCTGGGCCAGGCTGTCTCACTTCCCGCTTGCCCCGTCATCGCGGGGGGCCGGAACGTGTCGCCAGAAGAACTGGAGACCGGATTTGGCGCGCGAGCCGGGCGTGCCCGCGATGGCGCCCGCAGTGCTTGCGCGCGGTTCTCCGTCGTCAAGCTCGATTATTATTTTTGTGTGTGTTATGGGTGCTGGTGCTGCTCGCCTGGCCGACCGAGTCGAGTCTCGATGCCTCCTGGGGGAACGACCACCTCGCCCCGTCGCGCCCGCCGTTCAGTAATTGGTGGACCGAAGTCCTCCGAGGTTGCCGCTCGAGGCGCCGTCTGGAAACCTGCCAGACGAAGTGCGCTGGCAACGCTTGCCCGACGCAGTGCCCCTGCCGCTGCGCAGCTGCCAATCGCGCGGCAGCGCTCGCGGCAGCGCTCGCGGCAGGACCCGACGCATACCTACTCATAACGCGTGGCCTGGTTTTTGTTCAATGCATCACTGGCCATGTTCGTCGATTCCACTGGGCTGGAGTCAATTTTTTTCGGGGGGGGGCGAGGTCTAGGCCCCAGGGAAGTGCGGGCGCGGCGCCGGGGCGTCTTGGGCCCCCCAGTCGTTTGCCGGCCGAAGCTGGCGGCGGTCGAGTTTCAAATTTGCTCGGGGTGGCGTCGCCCATGCAACGCGCTCGCAGAGAGTTTGCCCATTCCACTGGGGACCTCGCAGACGGCGAGAGCGCGCCGGCAGTTGCCGCCCCCGCCCTGGGGATGGCCTCAACATTCGGTAGGTCGCCTCGCTTCGGGGCGCTATCGCGCTGCCGATGGGCAACCTGGCCGCCCCCGGCAGCCGGACTTTCGCGCGAGAGCAGATGTTCTCTGGGGTGGCATTCAGGATGCCAGCGCCTTCGGGGTCAAGCTCCAAGAGCAAGCAGTTTTGGGGCGACTGGCAACGGCAACTCCTGCGGGGCTCGGCCAGGCCCATGCGCAGGTTCGCCAAGTCCCAACGGCGATGGCAGACCGCGGTTTGCCACGTGCCCCCTGGGATGTGCTCCGCGGGCCCTTTCGGGCTCCTCGAAGCTGAACCCCCCGGGCTAGGGGGCTTCTGGAAAGCCGCCCTCGCTCTTGCTGGCGTTTTAGAAAAGGTCGCCCCTGGCCATATTAGCGCGGTTTCGTCTCTTTCGGCAGCGATGGGGCCGATGAATCGCGCGGGGTCCAACGACGACATGGTTTCGCCGGGTATTTCCACGGCGTGGGCCGTGCCTGGATGGGTGAGATATTTCGCGAGGCCCAGGCCGGCCGCGGACTTTGTTTCGATAGTGCTGGGGGCGACCGTGGGTGTAACTAATTTGCGCGAGGTGTTAGTGACGGGTTGCGCGCTGGCGCGCTGGGAGGTTTTGATCGCGGCCGGAGTAGTTTCGCGGGGGCCCTGCAGGGCAGCGTGCCACGGCGCCCGCCAGGCAGTGGGCACATAGTCTACTAGGCCTAGCGGCTTAGCGCCAGCCCTTTCTCTTTCAGAGATCATGCTGCAATTTGGGGGGCCCTCGAGGGCCGCCCGCAGGGTGTTGGGCCGCGTCGATGGCGCGGCTTTCAGTTTCCACATCTGGCAGGGCGACCGAGGCACCAGTATGCGTAGATTTCGCGCGCGCCTCTTCCGCCTCGGTCCGTGCGCGCCGCGGTTAACGGCGAGCCCGCGAAAGGCGGCCCGTGGAGATCGCGCCCAGGCCGCCGCGCTGATGAAGCTTCAGTGCCCCCCCCCCCGAGGAAAAACGCATTGTTCTTGCGTTTCAGAGCGCGCGCGGATCGCCCGACGAAGCGCGCGCGCTCAGTCTTCGCCCTCGGCCGTCGCCTGTTGATCCCGTGGAGCTGGATCGGCCGGTGAAGTGCGCGAGCAGGAAGATCTCGGGGGCGGGGGGGGGGATTGTTCGACGCGCGAAACGTTTCTTGATAGTGTTGGGCGGCGGGGAGAGACCCATGGACGGATGTGCTTGTCTGTCCACAGTTCTCATGCGCCTGGGGGGCGCGGGGTCGGCCAGGATCCGCAAACTAGGTCTCGATGTCTTGAGCAAGACGTGCAAGCCATTGATTTGTTGCGCCAGGTGCGGTGCTGACAGCAGCCGCGGGCGCCACCTGTTTGGCCAGGCTTGTTTTTGAAACCTGTGGGCCTCAGGCGAAGATGCCTCGAAGAGGATCCGCGGGGGCCACCGCTCCCGTTAAACGACATGCTGAGTGTGAATGTTCCGCCGCACCTGCTCGAGCATCCCCCAGCGCGGTGCCCCTGGCCTCTCCGCGGCCGCTTCTGGAGGGCGACGGATCGATGGCGATCGTTTGCGTGCTTCGGCCGAACGCGTGAGAGTTCGCGAGGAGGCTCCCGGGTGATAGTCGGCCTCCGACACGGATGTTTTGTCTCGGACTGTTCGTTTTGTTTCGGGGAGCGTGGCGAAGGGCGCGCAGGAAAAGCACGAATAGGTTCCAGCGGACTTCCCTTCCCGCGCGCGAGGCAACCTTGCGCCTGCCTTTGCACCAGCGAGTTTCCGGCGCGGTGGTCTGGGGCTCTCCAGACAGGGCCCCGTCATTCCAGGGATCGAGCATGTTGCGTCTCTCCCTCGGGGGAAGGTGGCGGAAGGGTGGAAGGTGGCAGCGGCTTCGGCGGCGGCGGTCGGTCCGCGAACGGCGAATCTGTTGGCATTCGCGCGTCGCGGTCCTGGACTCCGGAGCGCGATCCGCCGGATGCGCGGTCTCAGAGGGGGGAGGGGGAGGGAGGAGGGGGAGGGAGGAGGAGGAGGAGGAGGAGGAGGAGGAGGAGGAGGAGGAGGAGGAGGAGGAGGAGGAGGAGGAGGAGGAGGAGGAGGGGAGGAGGAGGAGGGAGGAGGAGGAGCGCGTCCCGCGCGGGGCATATCCGCCCCAGAAGCGCCCCGCATCCGCGGGGTCGAGCCCAGGGGCCGGGCCCGGGAGGCCGCGGACATGCAGTCCACGCGCCCAGCGAGGACACGCGCGCTCATCTAGGATACCCTGGCGTCCCTGGGAGGGCCTCTTGCAGCGCTCTTGGGGCGTCTTTGAGGCCTCTTGGGCCGTTTGAGACACTTCGCGAGCCGTCTGAGAGCCCTCGAGGCCCTCCAAAGCGCTTCGGGGCTCTTCTCGAGTCGGCTTGACGGCGGTCCCCGCGCCCCGAGGCCGACAGGGGGCCCCGCAGGGGCGGGCTCGGGCCCCGCGGTCCCCCTGCGGCCCGTGCTTTGCCGTTTTCGCTGCCCGCCCGCCGCCCCCCCAAAATCCCAACTTCGGCTTCCGAGGGTCTTGCGTCTTCACCACGAGTCCCTACTATACGTTTTGGCTGTGCGGGTGTGTTCTTCGCCCGCGGCCACAGCGGAAGTAGAACGGCGGCGGCTCCACCGGCGGAGGGTCGGCAGGGTGCGCCGGAAGCGCATCAGGAGGAGGGGCTCGGGAGCCTTGAGACGGGGGTCAATGCAAACGGGGGTCAGCCAGGGCGCCAGATCCTGCAGGATCCTGCGACGACCCCCTCTGGCTGACCCGGGTTAGCGAGCCGCTCGTGGTCGCGAGGTGGCCGCGCATATTGGCTGACCCAGGTTTGCGAAGATTCGCGTTGCAGTTGTTTTTCTTTGCATTGCAGTTTTTGGTTTCCTTCTGACCCGGGTCTGGATTGACCCGGGTCAGAAGATCCCCGCGGGGCACACGAACACATTTAATCGTCGGTTCTCCAGAAGATGTGGGAACATATTGGAAGTGTGGGCTAGGACAGAAACCCCAAGACGTGCGGGAAAATATTGGGAATCCTGTGATTTGTGCGTGTTTCGAATCGCTTCGCTCACTCCGCCGGCCCCGGAGCCCTCTTTGGGGCCTCTTGGGGGTTTCTTGGGGACCTCTTGGGAGTCTCTTGGGGCTCCTTGGTGGCGTCTTGGGGGCCCCCAGGGCCTCTTGGGGGGCCTTGGGGGGCCTCTTGGGGCGGGAGGGGGGGTAGTCGATTGCGGCTCCCCCCTCGGAGGCCACGATCCTTGTGAGGAGTGTCGAAAAATGGCCCTCCCCTGGAGTGCTCTGGTGGCTTCTCCCGGGGCCTTGCCGGGGTACTTTTCGTCCGGGGGCCCCCAGGGGCCGCTCCGCGCGCGCGAACTAGAAATATTGTTAACCAGTTACCGGAGATCTTAGCACGTCTCTAGCCTGCTGGGCTGGCGAATTTGTGTGTCCCAGGGCCCCTTTCGTAAGAGCGAGACGTCAAACATATTTTGGTTCAGAGATTCTGGAGCGGTCCAGCGGAACAACGTGGGGGGGGGCAGTTTGGGTGCCTTTTTCGGCACTCTCGGGGGTCCCCATTGGGGGGTCGTTGTGCCCATCGAGGGCCGCGGAACCCTGCCGGGCTTCTCATTCGGGCCGCCTGTGCTCGTCGTTGGGTGCCCTCCGTCTCTGGTTTTTGTTCGGGGCCCTTTTCGTGCCCTTCAGGGTTTTCGGGGATCTTTTAGGGGCTTGTGAAGGTACGGTGAGCGGCTTGAATAAGGAACACTTGCTTTTCAAAAGGGGCTCGGTCGTTCCTCAGGCTTGCACGCGTTACGAATCGTTCCCTATGCGTTATAGGTATATATATATATATACATATATAACTGTTCGTTCCTTATGGGTTATTCCTTGGAGAAGAAGGTTCTTCGCTCCTTACTCATCGTAGGTCAGGCCGATGACTGTATTTTCAGAGGTCTCTGGGAGCCCTCTGGGGCCACGCTGGGGCGATCCAAGTCAGGAGGGGAAAAAACACACAGACACAATTAATCCTCGATTCCCAGGAAAAGATGGGAAAATATGGGAAGTGGGGGGGAAGACAGAAACCCAGAAAATGTGGGAAAATATGGGGACTATTTTTATTTGTGTGTATTTATTTGTGTGTCCCAATTTCCCTTTACCAAGGGCGTCCGACGCCCAGACGAGGCGGGGAGCCTGCTCGTGACGGAGGTTCGCCACGGGCAGAGCGAGCCCTGCCATTCTCGCACGCAGCACGCCTCCTCGTGACGGGGCGCTGGCTGCGTGCTCCTCCTCCTCGCCCTCTCCCCCTGCCCCTCGTCGTCCTCGATCCTCGTCCTCCCTCTTTCTGCCAGGCCCTCCTCTCTATCCCCCTCCTCTCACCTCTATCCTCTTCCTCTTCCTCTCTATGCTCTTCCTCTTCCTTTATGTTTCTTTTTGTTTTTCTCCTCTCTTTGCTTTTTGTTATCCTCTGCCCCCTTTTTGTTTCCTTATGCCAGGCCGGTCGCTGCAGTCTTTTTGTTGGCAGCAGGGTCTCCTCGCGAGCCAGCCGGCGGTCGACACAGGCGATTCGCCCCAGGGCTTCCCGGGCAGTGTCCAATTTGATCCGATCTATCCGATTCGATGTCGAAGTTGGCTGGCCCGATCCGATCCGTTTCCGATGTTCGGACGGTCCGATGGGGCCCGGTGCCTGCACGGTGCTTGTGTGCGTCCTGGCGCAGCCAGTCCAACTCGATTCCGCCCCCGCGCCGATGCAGCCCGATCGGACGTGCGTTCCGAGTGTATCCGATCTCCCGATCCGGTTTTGTACTGATCCCGCCGACCCCGTCCAGAGCCCCGCAGAGCAGGGGGGCTGGCTGATCCTGGCTTCAGTGGACCCCGCGCCTTTCAGGGCATCGTTCGCTCTGTGTCCTACAGCGGACATTTTACAGCGCTGACTTCTCTGCCCGCATCTGCGTGGTGCATATGCCACCATTGCAGGCGCACGTATCATTAGGTTGTGCGGGCGCCATCTCCGCAGATGCGCCTCGCCTCGACAGAAGCGGAAGATCCGCGCGTTGCCCGAAACTGAATCGCAGGCGACGCAGCATGTACGCACGTGCAGATGCACACGCACATGCGTCGGAGGTTGGGGAGTGAGGTGGACATCGGTTTCGTTTTGTGTTCGTGTCGTGCGTGCGTGGGAGGCGAAGCTGCGTGGGCGGGCGTGAGGCATGAGCCCGCCGTGGCTGGTGCGAAGAACCGGGCCACGTGATGCTGTGCCCCCTGGCTGGCCAGCCGTGGCCCAGGTTGTCCCGAGGGTGTCCGGGTGGTGTCCCGATGGTGCCTCGACGGTGTCCAGTTGGTGTCCCCGTGTTGCCTCGATGGTGCCCCGATGGTGTTCCGATGGAGTCGAGCGATGATGTCCCGATGGTGCCCACATGATGTCAACGTGGTGCCGCATGGCGTCCACATGGTGCTCCGATGGTTTCCTTATGGTGTCCCCATGGTGTCTGCATGGTGTCGCGATGGTGCCCATATGGTGTGCCGATGGTGTCTCGATGGTGCCCCGATGGTGTCCCGATGGTGTCCCGATGGTATCCCGATGGTGCCCCGACGATGTCCTGATGGTGTCCCAATGGTGCCCCGAAGGTGTCGTCCCGATGGTGTCCAGGTGGTCCACACAGTTGTCCCGATGGCTGTCCCGTGAGATCGATCGATAAATAGCTAGTGAGACCGATGGATAGCGAGACCGATACATGTTGAGATCGATAAATATATAGTTGGATCGATTAGGAGATTGATAGTGTGACAGTTTGGTCGTGAGCATGATGTATTGATAGAGTAACCAAGGGTGAGATCACTCGTCAGGTCGAACATAAAATTCTCATTGCGGTGTCCAGATGGTGCCCAGATGGTGTCCCGATGGCTCACCCATCACCAGCATCTTCGCCAAGCATCATCACCATCACACTCACCATCATGCATCGTCATCAGCTCGCGAGCGCATCACCAGCATCGACACCAGCATATTCATCGCAATTGTCGTCATTTGGGGCTCCCCCCCCACAACCTCCTTGTCACTCGAAGAGTAGATGTATTCGCAGACTCGCATCTTTGCACATGCTTGTCACGCGAGGCAATTCATATCACAACAGCAGATCTTGAATGGGAGATGTGTGATGTGTGACTATGGCATACGTGCTTGTGGCAATGCGGTGGTGTGCGCGATGAGGACATGCTTCTTGCATGACGTGCGCGGCCCCTCCAGTGCTTGCACTATTCGGGCGGTCGCCGTCGCCGTCGCCGACGAATGCTCGTCGCCGCCCCGCCGCCACCGAGCCTCGCCTGTATGGTGCATGCATATGTAGACGTATATATATATATATATATATATATATCCGTAAGCGCTTCGCCCCCTGCCGCTGGCCCCCTCTCTCGGAGAATGGGCCATGGAAGAGCTAAGTCATGAGGCCTTGGCGCTGTCGTGCAGCAGTATCGGAACTTCATGCGAGGCCGATTCGCAATCGGCAAAACCAACTGATCACAAGAGGGGTTACCACACAGGGCGATTGGTAAGACGTGTATGGTTTACGAGCTTGGTTACCACACCTTGGGATTAAAGGGCCGAGGGAGTACTCGCAGTTTGGGTTACCACGCCTTGCGATGGATGTGCGTGAGGGGTGGCACCGAATTTCAGAAATGTGGCAAATCCCGTGTGTGTTTTTGGACCCTGACCCCGCGGATCTGCGTGAGGGGTGGCACATCCGTGTGTTTTTGGACCCTGACCCCGCGGATCTGCGTGAATTTCAGAAATGTGGCAAATCCCATGTGTTTTTGGACCCTGACCCCGCGGATCTGCGTGAGGGGTGGCACCGAATTTCAGAAATGTGGCAAATCCCATGTGTTTTTGGACCCTGACCCCGCGGATCTGCGTGAGGGGTGGCACCGAATTTCAGAAATGTGGCAAATCCCATGTGTTTTTGGACCCTGACCCCGCGGATCTGCGTGAGGGGTGGCACCGAATTTCAGAAATGTGGCAAATCCCATGTGTTTTTGGACCCTGACCCCGCGGATCTGCGTGAGGGGTGTCGATTTCGAGCCCCCCCAGCAATTCAGACAACGCGCCCAGGGGACGCTAAAATCCTGTTTGGGCCTCCCCCCCCTCGCGCGGTCAATCAACTAGTTACAGTAACCAGCAAGAAGCAGACACTGTAACACTGGAAACTACAAGCTACAACTGGTACAGGAAACTGCGAATCACGCGCCTCGCAGCCTGGTGGCCCCACAAGGGGGCCGGCGGATATATATATATATATATATATATATATATATATATATATATATATAGGTTTGTATGCTTATATAGATACATTCATCTGTTCACACATAATGGCATGTAACAACTCATCTGTTTATAGCGATGCATGCATATGAATATACGTTTGTATGTATATGCGCACCCCCCGCCCGCAAGGGTACTTGAGATCGCTCGCAGTCTGTCCACCATGACAGCCGCCGCGCAGGAACGGCGCTGGTATCCTCTGGCATCCCATGGTCATGACAACATACATGATCCCCACAAAGACTCCAAGATCCCGTTGCCCTTGCTCTTGCAGGCCGATCTGTTGTAGCCGCGGAGACGCTTGCCCCGTCAGTGCCAAGCAGTTGTTTCCGCCGTTGCATATGTATGCCGTTTGGGTGCCTTTTCTTTTTCTTGTTGGCGGAGGTATCTGCGCAAGCACCAGCATTCCATTGCCGTGGGGCAGCTCGACCAGCTTGACCAGCATCTTTTTGGCATCGTTTTAGTCGCCCGCATCGTCTCGGCCGTGTTGCCTTCGTCCGATGTACAGTCAACGCGCATAGTAAGGACAAACGACTTTTTCAAGGTTACCCTTGGGCCCTTGCCTGCCTCAGCCTCTGCGGCCCGTCCCTAGCAATTTTCGCAGGCCAGTTTCTCAGGTTCCCTGGGGGTTTGGCCGCCTGCCGCCCAGAATACTTCAACTTCGGCCTCCAAGGTCCTTGCGTCCTTACCACGCGTCCTTACTATACGTTTTCACTGTCTTGCTTATCGCGCACACCTGGTGCACGTCTCCGAAAGACTCCCTCGCGGCGCTGCATCCGTCCCTCGTTGTACCACCTCACGACGTCTTCCCGCGCGGGGGTGGTCGTTTGCAGCGGGCTTGGGCTTTGACAGCAGCGGGCTCGAGTTCATCCCCCTCGTCGGGCTCGTGTTTCTCCTTCTCACCGTCCTCCTCCTCCTCCTCCTCCTCGCCCTCGTCGTCGTCTTCTTCGTCCTCGCGGGCCGTAGAGGGCGAGGCGCTCCTCTTCGCGCCAACCTGCGGCAGTTGCACGCGCTCGCGCCGTCATCGACGCGGAGAGTCTCTTGAGCGGCCCGTCCTTGCCCTGCGGCTTCTCTTTGAGCCGTGTTTCGTACATGACATTCGGAACTTCCGTCGCCTTCTCATCGCCGCTGCCGCATGGCCCCAATATCCGCTTCGCCCGCATGGCGACCACGTCGTCCATCTCGGCCTTGTAAACCTGCATCGCCACTACAGCTTGCTGGCATGACTTCACTAAGTTTCCCATGCTCTCTACCCGCTCCTCGGGCATATGGGCCTGCTGCTTGATATTTTAAACAAAATGCGACACGTTATCGGATGGAAAATTCGGAAGCGATCGGCTTGAGCCGAAACGGCTTCGTGCGAACGCTGTCCTGCACCCTCGTCCTTCGTCTGCTCCCTTCTGAGCAGGAGGCTGATGGACCCGCAGTAAGCGATGTTGCGAGCTTTACCCACGCTGACTAGCCCCAATGTTTGCACATTTTCGCTACTGCTGCGAATGATGCACAGAGGGCTGGTTTCGGCGTCACCCCAACATACTTCTACTACATGAGCGTCGACCCCCCAGGGGCGACGCGCGCACCGAGAAATCTCATCGTGCATGCGTCGTGGCGGGCGCCGTCTGGCTTTCTGGCCACACCGCTGGGGCAACGATGCACCACACGGCGGGCGCACTGCATGCTCGGGCCGGGCGCGCGCCCCCGAGGTGGACTGAGGGCACTGGCACGACCCGGCGCGCCCCCATGGTCGACGCGACTCGGGGGAGCCACGTGTCTCATCAGAGCGGCGTGGGCCCTCCTCCTCCTCCTCCTCCTCCTCCTCCTCCTCCTCCTCCTCCTCCTCCTCTCATCATCATCATCCCCCTCCTCCTCCCCCTCCCCCCCTCCCCCTCCTCCTCCTCCTCCCCCTCCCCTCCTCCTCCTCCTGCCCCTCCTCCTCCCCCTCCTCCTCCCTCCCCCTCCCCTGCTCCTCCTCCTCCTCCTCCTCCTCCCCCTCCCCCTCCTCCTCCTCCTCCTCCTCCTCCCCCTCCCCCTCCTCCTCCTCCTCCTCCTCCTCCTCCTCCTCCTCCTCCTCCTCCTCCTCCTCCTCTCCTTCTCCTCCCCTCCCCCTCCTCCTCCTCCTCCCCCTCTCCTCCTCCTCCTCCTCCTCCTCCCCTTACCCCTCCCCCTCCCCTCCCCTCCCCCTCTCCTCCTCCTCCTCCTCCTCCTCCTCCTCCTCCTCCTCCTCCTCCTCCTCCTCCTCCTCCGCCTCCTCCTCCTCCTCCTCCCCGGCCCCGGGGGCCCGCTCTGGGGCCCGCGAGCTCGCGGAGGGCGCTCGGGCGGCGGGCGGCCGGGGAGCACGGCGTCGGTCTCGCGCGGGCGCGCGCCCGAGGCGGCCATCGCCCGGGGGCTGCCGTGGAGCCCCGGGGCCCGCGGCCCGTGGGCGACGGTCGTCGCCCGTGGCCTGCGGTCCTCCTCCTCCTCTCCTCCTCCTCCTCCTCCTCCTCCTCCTCCTCCTCCTCCCCTCCTCCCCTCCTCCTCCTCCTCCTCCCCTTCCCCCTCCCCCTCCTCCTCCTCCTCCTCCCCCTCCCCTCCTCCTCCTCCTGCCCTCCTCCTCCCCCTCCTCCTCCTCCTCCTCCCTGCCCCTCCTCCTTCTCCTCCTCCTCCTCCCCCTCCCCCTCCTCCTCCTCCTCCTCCTCCCCCTCCCCCTCCTCCTCCTCCTCCTCCTCCCCCTCCCCTCTCCTCCCCCTCCTCCTCCTCCTCCTCCT